GGGTCACAGTAAATGGAGAAATTTTGAATGCTGTGGTTAAGTTCATTTACCTTGACAGTCCTCTCCAGGGCTGTCCACATAGATAATGAGGTTGAGGCATGCATTGCCAGTGTTTGGGAGGCTCCAAAAGAAAGTGTGGGAGAGAAGAATCAGGCTGCATATCAAATTGAAAATATGGCTCTACAGAGGTATAGTGCTTGCTACACTGTTGTATACGTGTGAAACCTGGACAGTCTATCAGTGCCATGCTAGAAGACTGAACTGCAATACTTGAGTTGTCTTAGGAAGGTCCTGAAGATCACCTGGCAAAATAAGGTGCTGGACACTGAGGTCCTCTCTAGAGCTGAACTGTGAAGCGTTCAAACTCTGTTACAAAGAGTGGGGCTGGCCACGTAGTTCAAATGCCAAAAGCATGCTTACCTAAAAGACTGTTTCATAGAGAACTTGCACAAGGTAAGAGCTGTTATGTGGTGGTCAGAAGAAGCACTAATAAGGACATTCTCCAGGTATCTCTGAAGAACTTTAATATTGAATGTGAGATGTAGGAAATGCTGGCACAAGACATCCAGCATGGTGTGCTCACATCAAAGAAGACACTGTGCTACTCCATGAGCAAAGCAGAATCAAAGAAGCATGAAGGAAATGTGACCTGCACCAATCCAGAGCCACTTCTACTCTGACTGTTCCAGTGGACCATTTGTGCCTGATCTGTGGTAGTGCCTTCCAAACTCATTTTGATCGGATTAGCCACAGCCAAGCACACCACACTGCGACTCCAATATTGGTCTTCTTCTGAGCAACAACACTGGTGTTCTCTGTTTTTCTTAGTAACTTATGTCTTTTTTTTTAGTTATCACCTGATTGCCCTGAACAAAAAGTTAGTAGGAATGAGTGGTTAGCTAGGTATATTTCTAACACTTCAGGGATTGAATAAAGTAGAGATCAAACTAAACTAGACCTAAATTAAGCCATAAAATGTTGGCTAAATGAATGGATCCTGATCTCTCTCTGAGCACATTTATATTGGGAGGCAAAATGGTGGAGTCAGTATAGAGCAGTTAATTGGCTGTTGAATGATCTGAGTTTGAATATTATCTTTGTTACTTACAATCTGTGTGTCCTTGAGCAAGCAAGTCATTTAACCTCTATGATCCTCATTTTCTGTAACAGTAAATTGAAGAAGTTGGCTTAGGTGATCTTTAAGGTACCTTGTAGCACTAGTATCAAAAACGTCCATTATTCCTGTGAGCACATCTATGCAATAAGGTGCTGTACTCTTAAACTCAGTTAAGCTCTTGGGTCAACTAATTATCCTTTACATGAACAGCAAAATGGCATTTTCTTTAACCCCGTGAGAGGGATCATTCAGAGAATTGCTATGCTTTATACTTAATATTGTTAGATTCAAGATTGTAAGGAATGTAGACAAAACCACATGCCATTGACCTAACCAGAGGGGTTACTGATAGTATACACACTGATTTAATGGATATATAATACTCTCTCTTACAAAAAGGTTGTAAAATGTGAGCATTTCCCTACCACATTGCAATAACTGGGATTCCCATTTTGACCTGGTATGTGAGAAGTGGTTTCCTGAGGTAGCCGAATCCCAGGATTAGCTCTATCTAGCCAAATGACTGGATCTGAATGAACCATCAGTGTTAGAGGTCCCTGAGATTTTATTCCAAGGGCTGGTGCAGGCAGCCTTTTGCAGGTGTACTAGTGTTAGATTAAGCATTTAAGGCTAAGTATAGGGGTTGACAGAATTGAAGTCAAGGGCTGTATTTATGGATATTCGGTCTCTCTAGCTATCTTTTTTTTTTTTTTTGGTGAGGCAGTGGGGTTAAGTGACTTGCCCAGGATCACACAGCTAGTAAGTATTATGTGTCTGAGGCCAGATGTGAACTCAGGTCCTCCTGAATCCAGGGCCGGTGCTCTATCCACTGTGCCACCTAGCTACCCCTCTCTAGCTATCTTTATCTACAAATTTCTCTCCCTCTTCCTCTCTTCTACTAAATAAAAGGAGCCTGATCTAACTGGCTTGTTTCAGTGTCAAGCATAAAAAATTAATTTTACTAGGCACACAATTAAATATGTTCTGTTAATATTTTAGATGTTAATGCCTAGCTCTTGCAGATTTAGTGGCTCTCTTCTCAGGGTTATTCAGCCAGTTTGTGGCAGAGGGGGAACCAGTCTTCCTAACTCCAAGGCAAGCACATTAACCAGTACACTGCACTTCCTCCCTGTGAAGACTTAACTGGGGTAGGGCTGTATTCATGAAGAGTAGTTGATTCCTTAGTTTAGAAGATGACAGCTGTTCAAAGGCTGCAAATAAAACTTTAACTAACTATAACTGTGGCTACTACTGTCAGGCTATAGGGAACCCTTTGGATGCCCACTTCTAAAACTGTCATTCACAAACCTCCATTGTTGTCCTCCCCATTAATGACTTGTAGATGCAATCGGCTCTTAGTAAATTACTGGGCAATTTACTAAGATGACATGGGAAGAACAGAAGCTACAAAACATTCCCTGCATAAACTTGAGGTTGTCTTCCATAGTACCCACAGTGTACCCATAGAGGGAAGAGTGAGCACATGCATTTGACAATGTTGATCATCTTATACAGGTCACTTTCTCCTCTGTGTTTTTTGTGACATCGCTCTCTCTTGCTTCTTTTCCTATTCCCATGATTCTGTCCTAGACCTCTTCTCATAGGGTCCTAGAATCAAAGTTTTAGAGCTGGAAGGGATTTGAGGCCATAATGTCCATCTAAACCCCTCATTTTACAGATGAGGAAGCTAAAGCCCAGAAAAGGTAAATTGACTTGCCCAGGATCACATAGCTAGGAAGTGTCACTTTTCCCTCTATTTTATCATCTTCTCATCAGCTTCTGTGGGATCAATTGCCATTTTTATGCAGATGATTCCTACATCTACCAATTGAGCCATAGTCTCTCTTCTGATCTCCAATCCCACATCTTCAACTGGACAGTTCCAAATTGATCTCCCATTGGCATTTCTTACTGAGCACATGAAAACAGAACTTATATCTCCCCCTCTTCCTCTCTTCCAGACTTCTGCATTACTGTTGAGGGCACTACCATCCTACCCCCACATTGCCAATCCAATGCTAAATCTTATCATTTTAACCTTCATAATATCTCTCATATATGTCCCCTTTTCTCCACTCACAACCATATTGCAAGCTCCCATCACTTCTTTGTGCTATCACAATAACTTTTTCATTTGTCATCCTGACTTAAGTCTCTCCCCACCCCAGCATATACTTTGCTCATCTGTCAAAGTGGATTTTTTAAAATGTAAACCTGACATGTCACCACCCTCTATCCCACTCAGTAAACCTCAGTAAATCCCAGTGGCTCCCTATTACTTCCAAGATCAAATATAGACTCCTCTTTATGGTATTTAAGGCTCTTCATTACCTGATTCCTTCCTCTCTTTCCATCTTCTTGCTTTAAATGCCGGCTTTAAATGCTTAATGTAGCTTTAAATGCTACAAGCCAGCTACATTGGCCTACTTGCCGTTCGTTTGCATGACACTCAACTCTCATCTTTCTGCCTTTCTACTGACTATTCTCCATGCCTGGAATGCTTTCCTTCCTTACCTCTGGCTCTTGATATCCCTGGCTTTTTTCAAGATACAACTCAAGGGCCCTCGTCTTCATGATTCCTTCCCCACTGCCCCAGTCATTCGAGTCTTATTTTCTAAGCTTACCTTCTATCTACTCTGCATCTATCATGTATGTACATGTATTTAATTTGCCCCTTGGCTTCTCCATTAGTATGTTATTTCTTGAGAGCAGAGGCTGTTTCTGTATTCTGACTGACACAGGGCTTAAGCTTACTGCCTTGAACATAGAAAGCACTGAACAACTGTTTGTTGATTGATTAACAGACCATATTTGTAGGAAACATATGTGGAAAAGGCTGCTCATAGCTTCTTTTTCTCTTTTTGGAGTCCTAATGACCCTCTCTCTGGTAGAAATATCTCTGATGGGCAAGTGACTCATCTGGGCTCCCAGAATCTGTTGCTTTCTAAAGAATGTCTCTTGATTGCTAGGGATAGGATGCTCCCTGAAATCTATAGGCAGCTCTTTTTTCTGTCCCGCAGAGGTCCCTCCCTTTGAAGCTGTTCTAGTCTGGGATGACTGTCTTTCTGGAGCATGTGTCTCTGTTTCCTCAATTGTGCCTCAAACTCTTTAGAATGGGTTTTCCAGCTGCTAGGTAAGGTGTCTCTTTATGAGCAAGTAGTGGTACTCCTCAGTACTCTATGACCCATAGAGAGGGAAAGATGAAAGAAAATCCCATCTTTCCTGCCAAGAGGTGGTAGGTGACTGGATTCTTCTTTGACATCTGGCTAGATCTTAGACTAACCTGAACGGCCAGACTGACTTCATGGCTTACCTCTTTAAATGCTGTGGCAAGTTTTGTTGTTTGCCCAATGCTGTTCCTAGGTTCTAACTCGGGAAGAGAGATTCTTTTTTTGTAAAGGAATAGTATTAAATTAGTGACTATATCCTGTGACTGTACCAGGTAAAGCATTCAGTGCAAAAATGGCTTTGTATGGTCACAGGTTACTTTATTAAACAGAAGAGATACATTTATTTTTTTAAATGAAAGGGACTTACTGTTGTTACTTATATTGTTCCTAAGTACTTAAGAATATTAGTTTTATGGATATAGAGTACTCTTTGAGAAATGCCACGTAAGTCCAGCTTATCAAGGCAAAAATATGATCATCATATTTGATGAGTAAGATACCTGAATTCTCCTGGACTTATTTTTTACCTTTTTGATTCCAGCCTTCCCCCAAATCTTTTTGGTATTTGCAAAAATGTGTGGCTTCCTAGGTAATCTAGATTTTTAGACATACTTTAGTTTCAAGTGTTCTCACATATTTGTACTTTATAATAACTGATTCATTATTTGTACAGTACAGTATTTTGATTTAATTAGTGGTTTTCTATTCAACAGGTTCATATAGGTTATCTTCCTAACAAACAACTCCTTGGCCTCAGCAAGCTTGCCAGGTAAGTATTGTTTTGGAAGTCAAGCTTATTAATGAAATGAATTTGTAGGACTTTTGCCTTTTAATAATTACCATCTGGTGAGTCATATTGGAATAGTATTATTTTTGTAATTGTAATCACATTAAGCTTTTAATTTAGGGTTAGATCTCAATTTACTATTACACATTTATTAGAATAAATAAAACATACTTATTACATCTATTTAGGCCATATTCAAGAAGGAGGGTTATAATAGGGACTGGGCTTAATTTCATTGATAAAAGACAGCTCTGTTTGAAGAAACTACTATCAATGTGGGTCAGTACTTTCTCTACATCTTATAGTCTGAGAGAATTGCTTAGAATGCCCAGAGGCTAAATGGCTTGTCCAACTTCACACAGCCAATAAATGTCAAAGGCTATACATGAGCATAGGTTTTCAAGGTCTATATCCATTGTGCAACACTGCCTCCAATTTTTATGGCCCAATAAAGAAGCCTCGTGAGAAAGAGATGTCTTATGATTAACTGGATGATTTCCTTAATTTTCAATTGAAAAATGTGCCATCAAGACATAGAGTAGCGTATTTGAGGTTATAGACGTCATCAAGCAACAGTGATAGAATCCGAATTGGCAACCTTAATTGGCTATAGTTCAGAAAGAAATAAGCATTTATTAAGCCCGTATTATGTGCTAGGCATTTTACTAAGTGCTTTACAAATATCATCTCATTTAATTGTCACATCAACCCTGAGTTGCAGGTGGTACTATTATTGCCTCTGATTTATAATTGAGGAAATGGAGGCAGAAAGAGTCTGGTCACACAGCTAGTAACTGTCCAATGCTGGATTTGAATTCAGTTTTTCCTGGCTTCATGCCCAGCACTCTCTCCACTGTGCTATCCAGGTAGGGTAGCGTAGTTTCGATGCAGGGAGACTTAAAGAACAAAACCCTTCCATTTGTTAATAATATCAGTTCAGGGATTTAGAAGAGGGGTACTGAAGAGGAATGGTATTCTTTTACTCAGAATACTCAGGAGCCCGGGGCTTTTGGTTAATTGGATTTCAGATTGATGGAGGACTAACCAGAAAGTAAATCCTTATTGCTAAAAATCAATCCAAATTGGATTGGTCCTTTTTAAAAAGGTATTGTAATTTAATCCTATTTCTCCTGAATGAAGGGGGGAAACTATTCTTGACCATTCTCTACAGCTACCTCTAATTTACTTTTATTCTTCTATAGAAGTAGAGAAAAATGAACTAGGAAGGAAGAGACAATCATTTCAATTCCTTTCCCCATCATAACTTCAAAAGACCCCAATTTAGTCGTGCAGGTCAGTGTAGTTTTACAATATTCTGTGTAGTGGTGTTGAGGTTAGGCAGTACAAGAACTGCAGTCTCTAGTAAATTGAGACTTTTGAAAACAAAAGAAAACATCCTAATTTAGGTCAGTGACTTGCAGAAGGATCTATCTACTTTATGCCTGGGACATGGTAGGCATAGAATAATAAATTCTTTTTGATTGAGAATAGTTCTTATGGATAAATTTCAGATTGTATAAAACAGGATATAATAAAAATTCATAGCTTTCCCTTGATTAGTATAGCATTCTCTTAAAAAACCCTGTCATATTGTAGGTAAAATATCTACGGGGAAATTTTCTAGATAGGGAGATCTAGAAACTCTGCATTCCGTCAAGGAGTAAATAGTAAACTATTTTAGTAATAGTAACTATATAAAATATAAATATTATATAAATATAAATACAAAAAATAGTAATAATAACTATATAAAATAGTAAACCCAGTTAACTCTGGGTTAAGAAGGGATAAGCCACTTTGTTATCGAGGGGAGGGAATGGATTTTAAAGAAAAGCTTTTAAAAGATTAAATAAGAAGCTGACCAACACAGTAGTTTGTATTCCCATTAACAGAAAGTATTTTTAAAGTAATTTTTTTAAAAAAAGTAGTGATTAATGTCAAATGAATCCAGTCCTTGCTACTTGAAAATTTGAAGGATGGAGATTAGATGAACAGAAATGTAAAACATTATGTTCAGCTTCTTTCATAGAGAATCAGCATGGTGGTAGTGGAAAAGAGTCCTAGATTAGAATATAAACCTGGGTTCAGGTGCAATTAGATTAACTATGTATTCACTCTGTAAACATCATTGAATCTTAGCTACTTTATCTGTAAAAAAGGAACAATTATATTTGCAATACCAGCTACAAAGGTGGTTGTGAATAAAGCTTTGTGAACAAACTTTGCTAAGTAATGTAAATTTTGGGTGGCCTACTTTTTGTCTTCATAAGTATAATTTAACTGACCCTTCCTTTGATTCAGAATATTGTAGTGCCCCACGTTAGCATTATTAATCACTGTTTGAGCACCTGTTATCTGCAAGGCTTTTGGAGAGAGGAGGGGATAATTCTGAGAATTATAAAATAGTTCTCAACCTCAGAGAGTTCACAATCTCAACTGAGAATGGACAAGATAATTAAAAATACAAGGTAATAAAAAAGTACCAAATGAGTAATAGCTTCTCTCAGAGTTAGAGGAGGGAAAGCACTAAACTGGCATGATTTCAAAGACAGTAGATGAAAGGGACATTTTGTGAACAAAGGCTTGGAAGTAGCAAAGAGCTAGAAATGTTTGGGGACAGGGGTCAGTGAACTAGTGAAACAATTTGTCTGGAAGAGAGGGTATCCATGTGGGAAAGTTGTGGTAAATAAGGCTTGAAAGGTAGGTTGTAGCCAACTTTTAGAAGAAATAACAATTTTATTACATAGGACTTTCCATGTGTGGGGATTTACAGAACCAAGAAAACACATTTGAAAGTAGTGTTGTTGCTTTACACTAAATTATTATCACTCCATTTTGTTATTTATTTACCTTCAAGGCAAAAAGGATAAAACAAAATGTATTTAATTAAGGGGCTTTGTAAACTGGGGAGTGGTTAATGAATAGGTGTACTGTTCTTAAATCCAACACTACCATTTCTGTAACTCAGAGATATTTTCTAGCTGACATATTATCAGTGTAACTTTGGAGAGGGGGAAAGAGTACATGTTTATTTGTTTTAGAAAAAGTTTTAATTGTTGCCTCCAATCTTCAGTCCCAACTTCCAATGTCCCCTTGTAGTATTTCACTTTCTGTATTTTCAAAGCAAATATATCTATATCTTTTTAGATTTTTAAAGGCTTTAGGCTAGAAGTTCTTAACCTAGGAGGCTGTGAACTTGTTTTTAAAAAAGATTTTGATAACTATTTTAATATCATTGTTTTCCTTTGTAATTCTATGGGTTTTGTTACATGCATTAAAAAAAAAGCATTATGAGAAGAGGTTCATAGGCTTCATCAGACTTCGGAAGGAATCCGTGACATACACAAAAAAGATTAAGAAGAGCTGTTTTAGGTAATAATTAATAGTCAGTAATATAAGGAATCCCAAATGTGTCCTTGGTATTTCAAATGATATCATGAACTTGAGACCTTAACTAACTTCTCTAAATCTTTCTTCTCTATTTTTTTTTTACAAAATGTTTTTGTTGCCTTTTATCTCTATCTCCTCCTGATCCTGATTGTGAAAAAGAAAAACAATTAAGAAAAAAAATCCAACACCAAAAATGTTTCTTACTTGCTATACGGTATTTTGTCATACTAGTCCTCCACCCATTCACTGTGAAGGAAGATGTATGTATGTCTTGACATTTCTTCTATAGAACTTTTCATTATTTCTTTTTTTTCATTTTTCGGAGTTCATTTGAGGAATTCATGACATAATCCAGTATCATAGAGCTTATGGAAAATCAAAGGTGTTTATACAGACCTTCTTTTAAAGAGATATCAGAGGGAGGTATAATTGGCTCAGATCTGATTATACTAATAGGTTTAGTTGGTGTACTTGAAGATGGCCTGCTATTAATTAGTAAACAGACCATCTCTATATTTTTAACTTGTAGCTGGAACTGTTAAATAATTATGATTAATTATAATACATGGATCTTACTTTTGAGCTTACTGGGAAGCTTCCAGTTTTGATTAATCACTTAACTTTTATTACCAGCTACTAATTTTTACTATCAGAGACTTTTCTTTGGAAAAAAATTGAAATAAATGAGTAGACTTATACCTAATGGATCAAATAAGGTTTTTTTTTCATAGTTTTGTTCATTTAATCAACCTTTTCTAGTCTACCTATAATTTCAGTCACTTCTTAAGCCCTAAAGATTACATTTTCTTGCAGTACTGTGTGTTCATTGTTCAGTGTCATAATGAGTTTTACATATAGATATCTCTTTATCTTATGATAATTGAATTTTCATTCAAACTTTATGAGAATCATCAAAATGAATCTTTATTTTCTAGGATTGTGGAAATCTATAGTAGGAGATTACAAGGTAAATTTTCCAAATTTTTTCTTCATTATATGAATTAAAATGTTCCTAATTACCTGAGCTGAATTATGTCAAAGTTCTCTGTTTTTATGTTGTAGGTTTTCATTAGTGACTTGTGAGAAAGATACTAGACAGTCATTCAGTTATATACTCAAAATTGCTTTTTTCAGTAACATTGGGGTAGCTAGGCAGTAGGTTTGTGTTATGAAAATTTTTTCAATTTGTAGTGTGAACTAACTCTTGTTGTTTCTAAAATATATTAAGTGCACCCTAGAGTCCCTATATTTATGGTGAGATTGTGGGGCACTTATAGTTGAGCCCTCTAGTTAGGGTCTTTCTTTTGTGCCTATGGCATTAATTCTTACATATCTGTATCTAAACACAGCTTATATACATATGTATATATAACCACATATATGCATATGTGTGTTCCTATTCACCTTCATGCCTAGAAAATTCCAAACATATAACATGTATGTGCATGTATATGTACATGCAAACACACATGTAAACATGCATGTGTATCTGCGCGTGTTTACATGTAGCCGCGTGTGCATGCGTTGTATCTACATATGCACACACATCTATATGTAGATACACGTGTGTATCTATAGCTGTACACATCTACATGTAGATTATGTGTAATATACATGTATTTATACAAATATATACATATTTGTACAAATAAATATATCTGCAAATATATTTAGTATAATACAATACAATATACAGTAAATATATATAGATATGTATACCTATGTAGTTACATATGAATATAGTTACATATGAATATGTACACACATACATATCTATACACATTTCTACACATGCGTACCTGTATGTATAGAAATATCTCTATAGAAAATATGTGTATGTATATGTGCATGTATATTTGTATATAAACGTCTATGTATATATTTGGAAACTTCCTAGGCATGTAAGTGAATAGAAAGAAAAGCAGACACTGCTTCAACTGTTTGGTTAACCTTATTTATATAGATGCCTAAGTGTTGACGTCGATAATTTAGTGAGACACTTGGTGACAAAGATTATATTCTTAAACAGACAGTATAATTGAAACTTCTTGATAGCAGGGAAGCAGTGCTTTCACTGTGCATCTCTAGCACCTAGCATAGTACTTTGATTACTGTAGATGCTTAATAAACATTGGTTTTCTATTGTGTCAATTCTTTACGTATAACTTTTGATTATATGTAACCATAATGATCTTTTGGGACTTCAGATCCTTTCTAAGAGCCACTCCTCAAATTACTTTTTTTTACCTTCTTATGTACCATCCTGTGGAAATGGCGCTTTCTGGTTCTGTCTGCCAATTGGTCTTGATTTGTTACACGGGCCTCTTTAAGACATATATGTATCAAATCCAAATTCATCATGGCCAATCTGTCATCTCTGAGCCAGATGGAAAGGCTCCCAGATTGTTTCCAGAGCTTCTTAATACAGGTACCTGTTCTACAGTTGGCACGTGGTTCAGGTGCTAAAGGTCACTCCTGAGAAAGAATATTCATCCAGCCCCTTTTGGGGTAGAAAGCAGAAACAACCTCAGATATCCAAGGGAGCCAAGTCTTATGGGAGATGGAAGATCAGAACCCACATATATCAGGCAGCTTAGTGCCTGATACATAGTAAGCATTTAATAAATGTTTGATGATTGTCCACAGTGCCTTCGATGCAGTGGAATCTAAGGAGATTGCTCTGTAGCAGTCAGTGCCCTGGTACAGTGAGGGCTTAGAGTTTGTGGCATGCTTCTACCAGTTCCCCATGGCACCTTGACTAAGACAGTCTACCATTGGTGCCACTGGGAAGAACGTTCTCATCTCTAAATAAACCAAGGGCCACTGACTTTTGACTTTAAGGACTCTTCAGAACTTCCAAATCGGTTTCTAAATTGAAATCTGTTTACAGTAAAAAGTACTATATGGACATTGTATTTTGCCATGGTGAATCTACCTTGGCAAACTTGAGTTAATTGAAGGTTTTACAAATAAATGCTCTAAAGGTGAAGAAAGCCAGCATAGATAAAAGTACTAAGTTCTTTAGGCAAACCCAACATGTACTTTGAACACACTTCCAAAACCTTTGTGAATGCTGTATTACTTCTTTGTGTAGTTACCTCAAACTTGCAAATGGAAAAAAGCTTCTAAAGGCTGCTGGGTATCTCAATAAAACACTCCCAGAAATAAATCTTTTATTTTTATTTTTATTTTAGGCAATTGGGGTTAAGCGACTTGCCCAGGGTCACACAGATAGTGCCAAGTGTTTGGTCTGAGGCTGGATTTGAACTCAGGTCCTCCTGACTTCAGGGCCAGTGCACTATCCACTGGGCCACCTAGCTGCCCCCAGAAATAAATCTTAACAGACATCTCATATATATTTAAGATCAGAAAATTATCTGCAGTGTTCTCACCCAGAGAATTTATGAATCACTGTAGCAAGGAATAAAATGTTTGTATCCACCCCCTAAATTGAATTCCCTGTCACGTTCACAGTTCAAGAGAGACTTACAAAACAAATTGCTGTAGCAGTCACAGAAGCCCTCCGGCCAGCTGGAGTTGGAGTGGTTGTTGAAGCAACGTAAGTTAATATCTGTTCTTTTGTGATGTCATAGTGTGCTAAAAGATTGTTGCCTTGGCTACAACAGTATCAGCTTTGTATTAAATGCCGGCTCCTCTTCTGAGAAGCTAATGGATGCTCAGCACACCTTGATAATATCATTTTTAATACTTATACACATATAAATCTTCCATAATCCTTAATCTTACTAATAATTTTGTGATATCAGGATCAGTTAGGAGCAATCCCATTTTTAGAAGTGTATGCAGAAGTATATAAGCTGTTAAATGATTTGCTTACTTCTTTGTAACAAAGAGAACACTCAGTGTTCTTGACTGGGGACAGTATTTTCCTGAGTCTAACATTTAGTTATGCCATGGCAGCTAAAGAAAACAGAAAAATGTTTATTTAATTCTACATCTTAAAGTAATATTCTGTCACACATTATTAAAAGATGTAGTAAACACAACTACCATTTTTCTGTTTTTGTTTTCTTTAGCTGCCATTTATACCTTTTCTTAACAAGTTAGAATCGAGTTTAGGCTTTAACTAATATGGTTTCTGAATGTCCTATAAGCATATATCCTAATCAGCATGAATAATGTATCTAGATAATGACAACAAAAAATAATAATAATATGCTTTATACATGTTACCTCTGATCCTCAGATACTCTAATGATTCATATTAACCATCTTCCACTTCTGTCTGGCTGTGGTTATGAAATACTTCTGAAAATACAAACTCGCTGTTAATTAACTTAAACATTTGAGAATGTATGATATTACCTGTTCCTTGGAAGCAAAAGTCTCAGGAGCATAGATTTAGAATTGGAAGGAACCATAAAGGTCTTTCAGTCCCATAACCTCATTTTGCAGGTGAAGAAAGTGAGCCTTACAAAGGATAAGTGATTTTTACCAAGGTCATAAAGGTTTTTAAGCATCAGAGGCAGGATTTGAACCGAGATACTTTGACCCCAGAGTCAGTACTCAAATCTTTCTGAGAAATCTGAATTTATTTCTAAGTTGTATGTAAGTTAGTGTAGTCCATAGGTCATTTGTACTACTTTTACTAAAAAAACAAATCTTTTTTCCCCTTCTAACAAAATGTGACCTGATATGATTTAAGTTTTTTCTTCCTATATTGTGAAATTCTAGAATAGTCACAATGAATATGAGGTTTTAAAAATCACCTTTTCAGGCAGAATTTCCTTCAGGCAGAAGGAAATATGCAAATGACATTATCTAGTCTTTTGTATTTTGGCACCTTCTTTATTTTAAAGACAAACTACTACCTTTTCCCATAAACCATTTTTGTCATCTTGTTTTCTAGACATATGTGTATGGTAATGCGAGGGGTACAGAAAATGAACAGCAAAACTGTCACCAGCACAATGTTGGGTGTATTCCGGGAAGATCCAAAGACCCGGGAAGAATTCTTAACACTCATTAAGAACTGAATTGGAGGCAAATGAAATATGATCTGAAGATTGTACTGCTAGTGGCATTGTCTGTCTGTACATTATATTTAAAGTGTTGCAGTAGTGAGATCCTTTTTGTCATTAACCGTCACTGAAAAATATTTATAGGAAATAAAAAATAATAGAGAAGCCCTGTGGTTTATCCTTGCCACCTTTTTAGCAGTAATGGGGAAGAAAGTTGCCCGTTGAATTTAAGGTTCATAAAACTGTCACCCAGATAAACTGAGGATACTAGGACTCAGACGAGAATTTATTTTATCAAAGTAGCCTGCTTATTTATGATGCAATAAATGTGAGCATCAGGGAGGGGATATTGGGGGAAATTATATTAATCGTAGTAAGTTAAAATGGTGCCAGTTCTCTAAGTGCTTAAAAAAATCTAAGTATGTGATGGCATTGCTGTACTGATTGATGATTCAGCAATGCTCACTTTATTGTGTCAATTAAACCTGTCGTTTATAATAATTTTTTTAAAATGTCCTATGTTTACTTATTTTTGGCCAAGTTGTGCCTTTGGTCATGAATTGTTAAAAGAGCCGTACTTTGGATTTTATTATGAATTAGTTATAAAAACACTATTCTTTTATTCAGCTGCCGGGAATTGTTTCCTAGAATTGTTTACGGATATATTCTCATGTCAACATGCAGGGATTTATACATTTAACTCTCTGTGCCTTGATGAGAATGTCACATTATTTAGATTGTAGTAACATTGATTTTTAAACAATTTTTAGTAAGAGATTTAGTGTTACTGAGTAGGAGACTCAAAACTTTTATTTGATTACTGCTCATTAGTTTCACAAAATATTTTTATAAATATTGCCAGGAAACTTGAACTATTCTCATCTTTTCCAATTCTGTAGAATGACAGACTTCATGGACCCAAGACTTAAGCCAAGTCATTCAACTATAAGTGTTTTTAATCCATGACCAATGTTCTAATGAAAGCTTCTGTCAATGGTCTTTGTAAAAGCACCAGCAGAAGTATTACTACTGTTAGTATGTGGTAGTAATATGTTGTCTTCAGTGTGGCTAAGATGAGCCAAGCAAACTTTTGTTCGCCAGTTGGTGGAGGTTATTTCAGCATAGGAAAGTTTTCCTTTATTAATGGACAACTTGAATTTGGTATCACTGGGGCATAGAGGCCCAAACTAAAAAAGATTCTTTTATTGCTGATGAGTCATTATTGGATTATGGGTTTAAAAATCATAGATTTTTGCCTCCTTTCTGAAGCTTAAATAATTGTTCTTCAAATATGTCCCATTACTAAGAAAAGAATTAAGTTATCATGATCTAAGAATCAATTTAAAAGCAAGTGTTTAGTTATATATTGAACTAGTGTATCTTTACATTGCTGTATTCTTCTACTTCTGATCCATTTTGCTTTTTAGAAGGTAAGAGGAAAGACTTTTTAAAGAACAATCTCTCTACTTCTAGTAATAAATATCTTTTCCCTGACTTTCAGTAGCTTAACAAATTGCAAACAAAATAAAAACCAAAAAACCCCCCCAAGTCAGGCTTGTCTCAATTGGCAGTACCTCTATAACTCTCCCCTAACCTTATACAATTATTTCTCAGTTGTTTCTCTCACTCAGTATTTTGACCTAACCTTTTAAAAGTAGGATTTCCAAGCCTCAAAAACCAAGTCTGAGTTGTTTGATATTATTTTAAAGCAAACACTGATATGAGCTGGAGGACAGAAGGAATCTTTAGCTGTAAAATTCATCTTTCTGTAGTCATTTGAAATCCATTTCCCTTTTTGTTTATGTCCTCTTTTAGAGAGTTTTCCTGCAGGGCCATTGCAAAAAAAAAAAAGAAGCCATAGGCTATTCCTATCTCTCTGTAGTAAAGTCAAAATGATTAGCCTGCTACCTGTTTTGTTTTTCCCATGAGCTGCCTTTCAAATATACCTCTTTGTTTCCCTTGGCCTTAGATTATGTTTATTGTTTAGATTTTTAGAATTTGATGCACTTATACTATGTATTTGATTCAAATGAAGCTTGTTTAAATTTTATGTATTTGTGTATATGTTGTGTCTATTTAAAGTTGGTTCTATTTAAAACATTAAAGTGTTGGTACTCACTTGCTGCTTGGGTGCTTTTGTAAATGTAGTGAAGCAGTGGGGGAAATAGCTAAGTAGTAAAGTTCTAGGATCTCTCAGAACCACCACTGTTTTGTCAGAACCATCACTGTACAAAGTATTCAAAGTATTCCTCAATGAATAAGCAAATTGCAAAGGGTTGATTTTGTTTGTTTGTTTGTTTGTTTTTTGCTTTTTTATGAAACTGGGTCTCTCTATCTAGCCCAAGCTGGAAGTGTGGTGGCTATTTATGGCTTGATTCCACATGAGAGCAGGTTTTTTTCTGACCTGGGTAGGTTTGCTGATCCTTAGAAAACCTTGTGGGCTGTCCACCACTTCTCTTCTAGGGGTTCACCATACATTAAGCTCATAGTCTAATGGTAGAGACCATATTGAAACAAATAGGTATAAACAAGCTCTATGTAAGATAACTTGAAGATATTAATTCCTTCATTCAGTAAACATTTATTAAACTACCATGTATGCCAGGGGTGTGCTAAGTGTTGGGTATACAAAAAAAGACAAAAACCAATTCCTGTCCTTGAGGAACTTACAATCTAATGGGGGAGAAAACATGCAAACAAATGTGTGCAAAATAAGGTATATACAGGATAAATAGGACATAATTAAAAGAGGGAAAATACTGGAAGTAAGAGGAGTTAGAGAACACTTCCTGTAGAAGGTGGGATTTTAGTTGCGACTTGAAGAAGGCCAGGGAGGTCTGTAGTCAGAGTGGAGGCAGGAGATAGCCACAGAAAATGCCAGGAATAGAGATGGAGTTTCTTGTTTGTGAAACAATGTGGAGGTCAGTGTCACTAGATTGAAGAGTCCATGGGAAGGCACTTAGCATTAAGGGGATCTGGGAAGAGCTTGTTGTAGAAGATGGAATTTTAGCTGGGATCTGAAGGAAGTCTGGGAAGCCAGGAAACGAGAGATGAGAGAGAAGATGATAGGATTGGGGGAAGACAGTGAAAATGCATGAAGCCTCAAAATGGAGTGATGTATAAGAGAAGTTCGTTATGGAAGCCAGTGTTACAGAGGGAGTAAGATGTAAGGTAAAAAGGGGCTAGGCTGTGAAAGGCTTTAAAAGCCGAAAGGTGGACTTTATTTGATCCTGGAGGTAATGGGGAACCACTGAGGTTTATGGGATAGGGGGTGGTGTATGACATGTTTAGAACTCTGTACTTAAATAAGATCAGTTTGACAGCTGAGTGGAGTATGCACTGGAGTGGGGAGAAACTTGAGGCATGGATTATCTGGATAGCAAATATCATGGATATCTGATTATTTGTGTTTCCTGTGGTTCAGGAAGCTACCTCACACAAAAGACACTTGATCTTCACTTACATGGAACTCAGATTTATTCTGAGGATAATCTGATCTCAAAAAGGTAAGTCAGGTTTTTCTTGTTCTCATGACTAGGGTCTCCCAAAAAGGGATTAAGAGATACCTTTCCAGAAAGTCAAAGCAGACATTTATTTCCTCAATATAATAATAATAGTAGTAGTAGCCAGAACTAATGCATAACTTTGAGATTTGCAAAAACTATTTACATATTCCTTTGATCTTCGCAACAACCTTGTGAGATAGATGTATTATTATCCTCATTTTTTTCTTTTTTTAAATGTCTTTTTTTTATTTGTTTATTTTTAGTTTTCAGCATTCACTTCCTCAAGATTTTGAGTTACAAATTTTCTCCCCATCTCATCCCTCCCCTCACCCCAAGATGGCATGCATTCTGTATACCTCTTCCTCTAATCTGCCCTCCCTTCTACCTCTCCCCTACCCCTTCTGTTTTTCTGTAAGGCAGGATATATGTCAGTACTCCATTTCTTGTATTTCTTATTTCCCAGATGCATATGAAAACAATTTTTTTAACATGTGTTTTTAAAACTTTGGGTTACAAATTTTCTCCCTTCCTCCCTCCCCACCCACCCTCATTGAAAAGGCAAGCAGCTCGATACAGGTTATACATGTGTAATCATGCAAAATACTTCCATGATAGTCATGTTATGAAAAACTAAGTATATTTCCCTTCATCCTATCCCATCCTCCATTTATTCTATTCTCTCTTTTGACCCTGTCCCTCCTCCGACGTGTTTGCTTCTGGTTATCCCCTTCCCCAATCTGCCCTCCCCTCTATCATCCCCCTGCTCTCTTGTCCTCTACCACCCTTATTCTCCTGTAGGGTAAGATAGATTTCCATACCCCATTGTGTATGTTATTCCCTCCTTAAGCCAAATCCTATGAGAATAAGATTCACTCATTCCCTCTCCTCTTCCCCCATTTCCTGTCCACCGTAAAAGCCTTTTCTTGTCTATGTCATGTGAGATAATTTACCCCATTCTACCTCTCCCTTTCTCCTTCCAGTATAATCCTCTCTCACCCCCTTAATTTTATTTGTCAGATATCACCCCCTTCATCTGCAACTCACCCTGTGCCATCTTATCTCTAGCTAGCTATACATACATATGTTTTTTCCCTCCCACTGCCCTAATACTGACAAAGGACTCATGAGTTACAAATATCATCTTTCCATGCAAGAATATAAACAGTTCAACCTTAATAAGTCTCTTATGATTTCTCTTTCCTGTTTACCTTTTCATGTTTCACTTGAGTCTTGTATTGGAAAGTCAGATTTTCTATTCAGCTCTGGTCTTTTCATCAAGAATGCTTGAAAGTCCCCTATTTCACTGAATGCCCATTTTTTACCCTGAAGGATTATACTCAGTTTTGCTGGGTAGGTGATTCTTGGTTTTAATCCCAACTCCTTTGCCCTCCCAGATATTATATTCCATGCCCTCCAGTCCCTTAAGTAGAAGCTGCTAAATCTTGTGTTATCCTGATTGTGTTTCCACAATACTTGAATTGTTTCTTTCTGGCTGCTTGCAATATTTTCCCTTTGATCTGGGAACTCTGGAATTTGGCTACAACATTCCTAGGAGTTTTCCTTAGGGGATCTCTTTCAGGAGGTGATTGGTGGATTCTTTCCATTTCTATTTTACCCTCTGGTTCTAAAATATCAGGGCAGTTTTCCTTGATAATTTCTTGAAAGATGATGTCTAGGCTCTTTTTTTGATCATGGCTTTCAGATAGTCCAATAATTTTTTAAAATCTCTCTCCTGAATCTATTTTCCAGGTCAGTTGTTTTTCCAGTGAGATATTTCACATTCTCTTCTAATTTTCATTCTTTTGGATTTGTTTTACAGTGTCTTGATTTCATAAAGTCACTAGCTTCCAATTGCTTCATTCTAATTTTTAAGGAAGTATTTTCTTCAGTAAGCTTTTGGACTTCCTTTTCCATTTGGCCAATTTTGCTTTTTAGGGCATTCTTCTCCTCATTGGCTTTTTGGACCTCTTTTGACATTTGGATTAGGCTATTTTTTAAGGTGTTATTTTCTTCAGTATTTTTTTGGGTCTCCTTTAGCAAGCTATTGACTTGTTTTTCATGATTTTCTTGCATCCCTCTTAGTTTTCCCTCCACTTCTGTTCTCAGAATCCTTTTTGAGCTCTTCCATGGTCTGGGACCAATTCATATTTTTCTTGTAGGCTTTGGATGTAGGAGCTTTGGCTTTGTTGTCTTCTGGTTGTATGTTTTGATTTTCTTTGTCACCAAAGTAAGATAAGGTAGTCTGACTCTTTTTGCACTGCTTGCTCATGATCCGAGCCAATTACTTGAGTTATAAAATCTCTGTTACGGTGGGAGTCTGTTTCCAGTGTGGAGAATGTACTGTTCCAAGCTTCAGGGGTTTTGTGCAGCTGTTTTCAGAGATACTCCTAGGGACTGGTAAATTCTCAGTTCTTCCAAGGTGCTGTGATCAAGGGTGAGGTGTTTATTCCTTTCCCGTCCTGTCCTCTGGTCTATGAGTGACCACAAGCACTCTTTTCTGTCTTGGAACTGTGAGGAGGATTTCTTCTGTACCACTACTACAAGCCCCACCACGCCAGTGCTTCTCCTTGCCCCAGGACTGCCACCCAGAACTGTGACCCAGATCCGAGCATGGGCAAAGCAAGAGAATCCTGCACCAGCAGAGAGATCCCTGCAATCCCACTCTGATCAGCCACGCGATTCCGCCTCAGTCTGTGGGCCAGAAGCAGGAGGCAGCTGCCACCCCAGGGCCAACCTTGGGAACTGGAGCTGAGACCACCGTACTTTTCTCTCTTGCCACAGATACAGACTTTTCCCACTGATCTTCTAAGTTGTCTTTGGTGTTCATGGGTTGAGAAGTCTGGAAACTGCCACAGCTACCTGAGATTCAGTCTTCAGAGGCCTGCTTCAGGTTCTCTGTGGCCTGCGTGCCTACGCCAAACTGCATTCCTGTCCCAGTCCGGCGTGATATACTTTTCCCATCAACCATCCAGGCTGTCTTGGGCTGGAAATTTGTTTCACTCTGTCTTTTTGTGGGTTCTGCTGCTTTAGAATTTGTTTAGAGGAATTTTTTATAGGTATTTGGAGGGGTTTGGGGGAGAGCTCAGGCAAGTCAATGCTTTTAGTCTGCCGTCTTGGCTCTGCCTCTTATTATCCTCATTTTTAACATGGGGATAATGAGTCTGAGAGAGGTTAGGGTCTTACTTGTTGAGGTTCACACAGCCAGTAAGTGTTTGAGGACAGATTTGAATTCAGGTCTTCATGTCCTACACTATATCCACTGTACCACCTATCTGCCTCTAAAGAACACAGAAGACTCATGACCATGTATTAATAAATATTGAAAATATGGAACAATCCCTCATTACCATTATGATAATCTCCCAAAAGGCAAAAGCACTTTGTGGCACTGCTGAATAGTTCTATCACTTTCACTTCAGACCAGCACCGTCTGTGTCCCTAACAAAGTTCTCTTCCAAGAAGTGGTGTAGTGATATCCTCGTGGGCAGCTGCCATTGAGTCAAGAATCCAGAAGTTCTTATACTAATGAGGCAGGCCCAAGGAC